TTTTTTTAATGCTGACCTACGTCTTATGGTTCAGGAAGCTGTTCTAAAAATAACTTTCTTTTGTGATGAACACTTCCGGCGCTAAATTCTGGCCAAGGATAAAGATAATTAATGACGGTGCTTCAATTAAGACTAATGCGACGCAAGACAATAGTTAATGAAACTTTTGTTATTACAGTTAATGTCTGCTCCTTTCAAGAAAAAATATTTTTTCTTCTCCACAAATCGTATTCACCGACGTCAAGGAAAAAACAATAAAGAATCAAAATACACAGTTGTATAATCGGCCTCGTCATCTTTGAATTGTGATTTTTTTTTCTAAGAAACTTGATTCACTCACACACACACATAAAACGTGAAAGGTTATTTTTTATTTTCTTCTTCCTACTTTTAAAAACTCGAACTCGATCTGTTGTTCGACAAAACAAAACAAAACAACGAAAACAAAACTGCCTTGACCCCTGTAGTTGTCCTGCTGGGCCATTCAGAGACTTGACAACACCGAAGTGTTCATTCCATGTGACAAAGTATCGTGTGGCCGTTGTTAAAAACTTTTCATCTTCACGCAGTCTAACAACAACGGAAACAAAAGAATTATAAACCCCACATGTCAGAGGGTACGGATAACTGTGTTGATTTAGACCAGGGGTTCCCAACCCCGTGCCCGCGGGCGCCATGGTGCCCGCCGAACGATTCGTATGTGCCCGCCTCTCACTATTCGACAGAGACAGAATTTTTTTCATAGACATTATTGAAAGGTTGAAGGGGATGGATAATCGAAAGTTTGAAGGGGGGGGGGCAAATCGAAAATTTGAGGGGGGTGCAAATCGAAAGTTTTGTCCCGGGTGAAGGGAAGGGTCGCTACGCCTCTGGAAGGAGTTTGTCGATTTAAAATTGGTGGTGCCCGCCACCCTACCGATATTTTATAATGTGCTCTAGAGTAAAAAAAAAGGTTGGGAACCCCTGATTTAGAGTTATGCTAAAATTCAATCTTTCAATTATTGATACGTTATTAGACGCCTTGAAGGGGGGTCTTTGTGTGTTGTTGCGTGCGCTCGTTAAATTTTACACCCGGCCTCGACTGATTAAAACAAATGTTGAAATTAATTAGACGTAATTTTTAATTTCTAAAAACTGACTTTTTACTTTTTCTAGAAATTTTGAAAACTTACTTTTTTAATAGAAATATTTGAGATTTAACTTTCGATATTAACATTTGACATCTAACTTTTCATTGTAACATTATGCATTTGCTTTTTAATAATTACATCGATATTTACTTCTTCATAGTAATATTTGGCATTACTTTTCATCAGTGGCGTAGATAGGATTTTCGGGCCCTAATGCAAAAATTATCAGTGGGCCCTTTATCAGCCATTAGGCTACCAGTAATTGAGTTAAACACGGCCAGGAATGAAATTTGCTAAAGGCTTTAAATAATATAAATATTATGTTGTCTACACTATACATTCTGATTGTACATTTGTACGTTGTTGTCATGTAGAAGCTTACCACAATAACATTATAGCTTATATATATATATATATATATATATATATATATATATATATATATATATATATATATATATATATATATATATATAAAACAAATATTAAATTTCCAATGTAAAATTTTACATTTATTAAAGAGGAATAAGGACCCCATATGCTCGTAGGGCCCTGATGTCTTGCGTATTATTGCTATGCCTCTGCTTTTCATTAATAAAATTTGACATTTGCTTTGTTCACTAACATTTGACATTTGCTTTGTTCACTAACATTTGATATCTGCTTTGTTCAGTAACATTTGATATTACTGAACTGTTGGGTTCACCACCCTGCTATAGGCCGGACAGAAAGGTAACTCTAGTACAAGAAAATGTCCAGACACACCATGATAGCCGATATTGACGAGAGTTAGCTCCCCTGTAATCGACAGAGAAAATAATGATGGACGTGCTTGCCTGTTTGGTCACGCTCGTGACACGACGGTCGTTGACGTCACCTGTCCATCTTCGTTACTGCGGGGGTGGGGGGGGGGGGGAGATGTTCATCTAGTGAACAACTGAATGGACGTCTTTCTACATCAGTGGCAGATTAATGAGATATGGTGGAGGGGGAGGGTGGTCTGGCTCTCAGCCCATTTACATCCCAATTATAGGAGCCTCAATGAGTTCAATTTTAATTTTTTTTTAATGTAAACACCGATGTGCCAGTGACTAGTTATTGGTTGAAGGACCCTGACGATAGGGGCTCCAGACAAGATTGATTCATGCATGGCCTTGGAACGGAAATATATATATTTATATATTTATATATATATATATGTATATATATGTATATATATATATAATATATATATATATATATATATATATATATATATATATATGTATATATATATATATATATATATATATATATATATATATATATATATATATCCAGACATATATACACGTATAAATACATATATAATCATTTATATCTCAGTAAATAAAGTTAGCTGAACGTATATGGAGATCCTTAATCTATTTTCCTTCAACCGGAAACCATAGCTAATCTTCACAATTTTGTAATCAACCGCACCGGAAGTGAGGCTTGGGCTGATAAGAAACCTCGATTCAACGTCACCAACGATGGCGGCTAATGACAGAGGTAATTGATAACGTCAGCGACAAGAAAAAGTAGGAAAAAGAAATTCCGAGGAGGTTTTCATCGTGTGCTGGGAATCTCTTGAAGTTTTATTGGGGCAATTTGGTCAAGAAAAAACTCGACCTGGAACTGTTTTTATCAAACTGGCTTTCACTTGCAGTTTTTTTTTCTCAATTTGTTGAAAATTTGTGCGAAAGTTTAGATAAATATGCGTTGTCCAAAATATGGACGAATTGGTCCTCTAACTTGAATATAGAAATATATATATACAATATATATATATATATATATATATATATATATATATATATATATATATATATATATATATATATATATATATATATATATATATATATGTATATATATATATATATATATATATATATATATATATATATATATATATATATATATATATGTATATATATATATATATATATATATATATATATATATATATATATATATATATATATATATATATATATATATATATATATATATATATATATATATATATATATATATATGTATATATATATATATATATATATATATATATATATATATATATATATATATATATATATATATATATATATATATATATATATATATACGTGTGTGTGTGTGTGTGTGTGTGTGTGTACCTGTACGTATCCGCACATGTGTTTATGTTTGTCCGTTTATGGAGCGTGCGAGTGTGTCTGTTTATGTATCCGTGTGTCTGTGTCCAACCGTCTTTGTCCCTGCGTCTATGTCTGTGTCTATGTGTCTGTGTGTGCGTGTGCGTGTTTGCATATGTGAGTGTGTCAGAGAGGGAGATAGAGAGAGTCATCATGTTAAAAATCAGACAATGTGTTTGATGTACTGGTTGAATGTACCAACTTTAACTTTTTTAAATCATCTTCTTCAAGTTTTCTTCTATACACTTCAAACTTCTGTAACCCCAGCTTTTATTTATTGTTCTAATCTGACTCCTACAAGGGCTGACACACCCACAAGATGTTTGGTTTCATCTATGTTTTTTGTTTTGTTTTGTTTCATCTATTTGTGATCATCTCCACAACACATCGTCTTCGTCCTCTAAGTGCTGCTTCGGTTACATAACATGTACACATGTTTACACAATATATATGCCTGTTATATGGTTACATAACATAGACATAAGGTTACACAGTATATATGTATGTTATATGGTTACATAACATAGACATAAGGTTACACAGTATATATGTATGTTATATGGTTACATAACATACACATAAGGTTACACAATTTATATACATGTTATATGGTTACATAACATATACATAAGGTTACACAATATATATATATATATACATGTTGTATGGTTACATAACATGGACGTATGCTGTATATGATTACACAACATATCTGTATGTTGTATAGTTACGTAACACAGAGCTGTATGTTGTAGACCACGGACCGATGCCCAATTTTTTCCTCCACCAGACGACACCCTATTGTCGTCTGCATGCCTCTGGACAACGACCCTCCCAGACGACATGCACTAGACGCACATCCGGCGATCATTTCAAGCTGTCGCTGCACATTTAGCTCGAGCGTGGCTGGCGGGCACGGGCTTATGTAGGGCTCTCAAAACTCCATCTGCTAAACACGTCTGAGACCCTTGGGGAACATTCGAGAGGGCAAACAGATAGGGTTATACGCCTACGTGAGTGGGAGGGGGTGGGTGAGGGGGGGGGGGTTAGATAAAAATCTGGTTTTTGATTAAGTGGAAATCTTAAGACATAAGGTATACATTTCAAAATGTTAATATTTATATTTACAAGTTTATATTTGTGAACACACACACACACACACAAACACACACACACACACACACACATATATATATATATATATATATATATATATATATATATATATATATATATATATATATATATATATATATATACAAAGGCTTAGTGGTAGACTGGTTGTGTCCAAGAGGAAAATTTTAAAAGACCCCCCCCCCCCCCGCCCCCACCCCACCCCCTCCCCCCAGCCAGATTTTTGTTTTTACCGTGAATTTTCTCCTCCATCAAAGCCTGAATATTTTACGCCTTGGTGTAAAGAAATGGTAAAATACCAACATTTTTAAAAATAAAAACACAGTGATATTTTCCTGGGGGACAGCCGGGAAATTTTCCTAGGGGCCCACCGAGATATTATTCTTGTGGGCCACCGGGCGAGCCAGTCCACTCCTGCAAAACACATCCATACATGTTTTTACAACTTCAAATCCCTTTTGTGCCATATTAAACCAGATGTTATCTATTCATGCTAACTTCTTTTCCCATTCTTCCCCAGCATCCATTATGACGTCATGCTCCTCGGACCCATCACGCGGGCCCGTGCGCAGTCACCTGCTGCGCAAGGCCAAACGGAAGTCACTGCGCATGTCCGTGGTGATCGTCCTGGCCTCCATCGTCTGCTGGACGCCCTACTACATCCTCTTCATCTTCACGTCCTTCTTCTCCAAGGAGCGGGTCATCGACCCGGATGTCTTCAACTACTTCGCCATCTTCGGGCTCTCCAACTCGCTGCTGAATCCCATCATCTACGGAGCCTTCCAGCTTTGCAAGGTGCAATACTGTAGCCCCAGGTTTGTCTCGTGGTCTCCAGGCAAGAATCTCACCTTGTCCACAAAAACCTGCCCAGACGCCCGCGGTGGGAATCTCACCTTGTCTAGTCTAAAACCCGCTTAAAAATTTTTTCACCTTAATCAATTTAACATGCGGGCTATAAAGATACACAGTTTATTTTAAAAAAATTCCAATTTTGCTGCATTTTAAATATTAAAATATTTTAAAAACAACACGTTCTACTTTTTATTTTTAAAATTTTAAAATTCGTATAGACATTGTGAGATTTCGCTATGGAGAGATTTGGATGGTCCCTTGTTCAAAGCTAAATGTCGTACTCTAAAAATTGACTAACTCTTTCATTAAATGCAAAACAATCCTAACAAAAAAATTCTAAGTGTAAATTTTTTTCACGTTAGAATTAAAAATAAAAGTAGTTGTTTTGATTATGAAATTTTTAGAAGGAAAGAAATGAAATAGGCACCGAGGGTTAAAAGATGTACATTAATCACTAGATTACAATCACTAAGTTACAATCACTAAGTTACAATCACTAAGTTACAATCACTAAGTTACAATCACTAAGTTACAATCACTAGATTACAATCACTAAGGTACAATCACTAAGTTACAATCACTAAGTTACAATCACTAAGTTACAGTCACTTAGTTACAATCACTTAGTTACAATCCGTTTGTTACAGTCACTAAGTTACAATCACTAAGTTACGATGACTATGTTACAATCACTAAGTTATAATCATTAAGTTACAATCTTTAAGTTACAATCACTAAGTTACAATCACTAAGTTACAGTCCTTTAGTTACTATCACTTAGTTACAATCACTTAGTTACAATCCGTTTGTTACAGTCACTAAGTTACAATCACTAAGTTACGATGACTATGTTACAATCACTAAGTTACATTCACTAAGTTATAATCACTAAGCTACGATGACTATGTTACAATCACTAAGTTACAATCACGTAGTTACAATCACTAATTTATAATCACTAAGTTACAATCACTAAGTTGCAATCACTAAGGTACAATCACTAAGCAGACAAGTTTGCAGGAGTGGCAGATTTTTTGTGTGGGACTGGGGTGGTCGAATGGTAGAGCACTCGACTGCTCTGAGGTCTCGAGTTCGGATCTCGGTCTGGACGGTACTGCAGGGTGTATCTGAGTCCACCCAGCTCTGATGGGTACTGACTTACATTATGGAAATTTAAGACGGCTGGGCATAGTGCTGACCACACCATCGCTACGTATGCCTAGGTCAACAAACACTTAAACCCTACTTCATCTGCCCAATGGAGTTAGGTCTGAAAGAATTTCTTTACTTTATTTAGTCAGTTTTAAGGGAGAATAGACGTATTTTACTATTAACATTACATAACCTTTATTCAAACAATCTTAATATTAACTAAACAAGACGAGATTAACAAAGTCTGCAGTATACGAGCTTAAGAGTGGATACATCAACAATTTTACAACACAATATCAACATCGGGTAACTGTTTACACCCTACACTACACTAAAAGTATCATCTATGTATCAATCTATGTATCATCTATGTATCATCTATATATCAAAGTATATTTTATAACACTCGGTGCTAATAAGTATAAAAGTTGAAAAAAAAAGCAAATTTTATTTGAAATTTGATAAAAAGAAACACGATGATATTTTTATACAAAAATTAAATTATATTTTACAAAACAAAACCTGAAAAGTATAGAACAGCTAGACTTAGGAATCAAAAACACTCCCCCCCCCCCCCCACCAATACCCCACAAGATTCCCTGGTAGTCTAACACCCCCCCCCCTTAATATCACAATGCGTCCCCCCCCCCCCCCCATTTCCTACCAGATCCCAGAGATAAACTAAGGGGACCACTGTTGTCTGTGTTTGTGTGTAGCGTTAGTGTGTGTCGTGTGTAGTGTGTAGAACTGACCGTGAAACCATTTAATCCAAGCCATTAAAAGGTTTACGGTCTGGCATCGTGTGTACCACGTGATCTGTCCCGCCCCCACCTGTGTGCAATTTTCGTGTCTTCGTTCATTAACAGGTGGCGGTAATTTTTTCACGTGACGTCAACAGGTGTTCACGTGTGTTGGCATGTCGGCTGGTGGTTCCATTTTAATCACACCTAGGGGGATCAGTGGTTTCTTTCACTTCCACTTTTCATTACCTACTTTTTCATTCTCCAAAGCTAATTAGCATGATCCATTTACCTTTTCATTACGTTATTTATTACCAAATACATCCATATATATATATATATATATATATATATATATATATATATATATATATATATATATATATATATATATATATATTCTTGTTTGTGTCAATTTTCAATAGTGTGAAATAATATATTTAAGATACAATATTTTTTAAAAGTAAACACTATTACAAAGAGTATTATATAAAAAAATATTTGTAACGACAGTGCACTACAAACAGGACTGTTTCAAAATGAAACTTCAGCTTGTTATATACCAAAAACCCATGAGTTGTATGTTTGTATCATTGATTACAACTGTATCGTTCATAGTATCATGACCTGCAAATATGTCCCAATTCTGATGACCTGACCTTGTCTCAAAAGAAAAATAACCGGCCCGTTCCTGCAAGGTTAAAAATTTTACTAGATCTAGTACTCAAGCTTGGATTGCCTTTCCTTTGTTAACTCAAAAATAGCCACTGGGTTTTCCCGGAAGCTAAATCGTCTAGTTGTATGTATCCAACCTATTTTACTGGGAAATTGGGCTAGCATCGATTTCTTTACGCGCAAGGTTTTGGGGTATTTCAGTTGCGGTCATTTGGTGTGAATTCCGGTCAAGGAAAGACAGATGTGGGTTGTTGTTTTCGCCAAATTTTCGCGAAAATAAGCAACATCGTCTTTGATGTCCTTCAGGTTTGTAGGATTATTAAAACATCATGAAATGGTACTACTGATGGTACATCTAATAAATGGCACTGTCAAATGACACTGTCAAATGTCACCCTGTTGTCTACAGGGCACAGGACATGTTAGTGAGTGTCCATGAACAAAAGTTAAATTGCTTGGGCTGAGGCGGCATTGTTTGAGACCCATTATAGGCCCTTAAGTGCTTTTAGACCCATTCAGAGTTTCTTCCAGCCACCTCTTCGGTCTACCGCCCCCACCCCTCCCCGAACGAAATGAAATTGATATAGAAAATATATACTTTAACAGTAAATTTTAGTCCGCCCCCCCCCCCCGAAAATTTAAAGTGCCCCCCCCCCCCCCCCCCATCGGAAAAAAAAGCTGGAAAAAACACTGGACCCATTTGAATACCTTTAGTGCTTTTATACCCTTTTGAATACCTTTAGTGCTTTTATATCCATTTAAATACCTTTAGTGCTTTTATACCCATTTGAATACCTTTAGTGCTTTTATACCCATTTGAATACCTTTAGTGCTTTTATACCCATCTGAATACCTTTAGTGCTTTTTTACCCATTTGAATACCTTTAGTGCTTTTATACCCATTTGAATACCTTTAGTGCTTTTATACCCATTTGAATACCTTTAGTGCTTTTATATCCATTGGAAGACCTTTGGTGCTTTAATACCTGTTAGAAAAAGTGCTTATTTTGAGACCAACTAGAATATCTCTAAAGCTTCCATTTAGAAGAAAGTATGTGATGCGTTTTTAGACAAGTATTAAGATCTTTAAATCGTGCAATATTTGAGACCAACAAAAAGACCATTAAGTGGTGCATCTAAAAAATTATGGTGCTATCTTGAGAACCATTCTCAATTCCCCCTCCCCCCTCCCCCCCCCCCACACACACACACTCGTGCTTCAATCACGTTGGTATTGTTAGAGCGGTCTCAAAAATCCTTAAAACCTCTTGATCGTCTTTTCTTTTACAAAAGTCTCAACGGTTCCTATAACATCAGATCTTTAATCGGACGTATATCTGCTGGCTACAAACTGTCACACACACATACTAACACTTAAACTCACACACAAAAATACACACACACAAATACCCTCGCATACACACTGACACGCAGACTACACACAATTTCTTGCAAATCAGTTTTATTCATGTACTTGTAAATTAACAAATGTATTTTTAAACAACTTGATAATAAAAAGCTTTTAAACGCATTGAATAATAAATCAAAACAAACTTTAATTTTCTATAGACATAGTAGTGAAATGGTATTGGTTTTTTTTTTAGATTTCTTGAGCGACCAAAGTATTTTCTTTTAGTTTACAAGAAATCACTCTGGTAGAAATTGTTCAAAATGTTACAAGGCCGGATTACAAACCCATCCACAGATAATTTAACCTAAGGAAATTATTTTTTTTATGTTAGCTGTACACAAATAGAGATGAAGGGCAAGACGCACAAACACACGCAAAAACATACGCACAAACATACGTACAAACACACGCACAAACACACGCACAAACACACGCACAAACACACGCACAAACACACAGTTCTTGTAAAACTATATTTCTACGCGCATGTTAAAAAATGAACATGATTTCAAACTCATCCATACACGCACATACATACGCACAATCACACGCACAAACTGCACCCCTCTCCCCTCTGCTAGCCTATACGATCAGCAAGAACGCCCCTAGCGGCCACACGCCCTAACATTTTACTCAACACTCTCTCCACGGCATCTGTCAAGCGCTATCTCTTTAGATCTTCTAGTAAAAAGCTTTTTTTTTTTCCTTTAACCTCCTTGAAATGTGTGATCTGTAAACACCCTGGACCGGGGGGGGGGGGGGGGGAGAGCAGTTTATTATAAATCAAATATATAGAAATAATGGGGGTACGGATAGTGGGGGGGGGGGGGGCTACTGCATGGGTCGGAATAGTACTAGCAAGAGGGGTCGTGTTTAGACATGTCCTTGCATTTCATTACTTTATAAGTGAAAACCTTTCTGAAATATGGATTTTTTTTTTTTTTTTTTTTTTTTTTTTTTTTTTTTTTTTTTTTTGCTTCTGTTT